TCATAATAACCTACAATATATTCAAATGAACTGTCCGTCAAGATTTGACAGAATAGTTCTAAAATATTTGGGCGCCGAGTGAGAAGTAGACATTTCCAAAAAAAATAATATTTTTAAAATCTCAGCGAGACTGAAATGAGTAATTCCAACGTTTCGTTCGGCAATCTGGTCCGAACTTCTTCAGGGAAATTAATTGAAATTAACATAACAGAGGTTTATATCTAAAAGGAACATCACTTGTTTTTAAAAGCTTTGTCCAATCATGAGTCATTCAACAAGTATAATAAACAAAATTTTATGAACTGTGATCAAAATTTGACCTCGAACTTACAAATATTGGTCTACCTTTGTTAAACACTTTAAACAGAGTGTGTATGTGTGTGTGTGGGTAAACAGTTGTAAAACATTTCTTAACGTCTCCATAAGAAGATATGGACAGTCGAGAATTTTGACCAAGTATTAATAATTAGTGATACATATCTATTTTTTATTTATTAATAAGGATTTCCTATGCATCAGCTAACATCACGCCTTCATGTCTGTTCAAACTGTTAGTATCTAGAATTTTATGATTAGACGTATTTTGAAAATTATGGTGTTTAGGATTAGAGTTGAGTAGAAGCACCCTGTCAGACTTATTGCTTTGTCTTCTTTCTGAATATATAAACCTCTGTTATGTTAAACATTTATAAAATTATATTTGTCTTGTTAATTTCGATTAATTTCCCTGAAGAAGTTCGGACCAGATTGCCGAACGAAACGTTGGAATTACTCATTTCAATCTCCCTGAGATTTTACAAATATAGTTTTTTTACAAACCTACAATATATATTCAAAAATTTCCATTTTTCTATTTCAGTTTAATTAGATGATGCCCTTAAGAGGAGTTAAAAATTCTCCTAAAAAGGTAGCGATGATTTGCATCCAAATTTACTTAAAAAATCAGTCGTTGAAGTCTGAATTCTTCTCACTGTACTTGGAGTTTATAATTTTATTTTAAATTGGTATAGTATTTAAAATCATCCATAATTACTAATGAAACCACTAAATTGGGTAAAAAGACACGTACAGTCAAGTCTAGGGGTTGAAAGTCACAGATGAAACGGCAGAAAAGTTAAAACACTTAGTACGCTAACGGATATACTATTCTTAAACATTGAAATCGAAATAGATTTGACAAGTATGTAGTCAAAGCAGATGACTAGTGAGATGTACCAAGTTGTAAGTAAAGACAGGTAGACAGTGTTAATTTTAGATTTCGATGGTATTATGCTGTAAGTCGGAAATATGTTATAGTAGTGACTCATAGTTTCTGCTTCAAATCTCTGAAAAAGTCGTTTTTACTCAATTCTGATCACTGCTAACTTAAGATGGTTTATTTACCACTGATTTTTTATGTTGATGTCATTTTGTCCCTAAATGGATCTTCAAATATTAACAAATTTATATATTGGGAATTTAAAACATTTTTACATTTTCAAATGTTGTTTTGCATTGATCTGATTGACTTCAAGATGAATGACAAACTGTCATCAATTAGAAGACGATTGGGAGCCAGTAGTAATGGATAGCCGATTTGTCTTACTTCTGGAGCTCTTCAGAAATACTTACCCATAATCTCACCAGGAATCGGACGCAATACGTTCGGGTTATAGGGCAAATTTGCTAGTCATTCAGATAATAGGATGCGATTCAATCTCCCGTGAATTCTAACTTCTGTAAATTCTCTTTAAATAGAGATATTTCTAAGCCATGTAATCAACGAGTATTTGTCTTTACATCTGATCTGGTGTACTCCACTGACCACCACTTCTCATTGGAAATCAAGGTAACTATATTCTGCAGTTAGCTACTAGTTAGAACTACTCCATCAGATACATTAATATTATGTAGTTGTAAATAGAATTAGTTCGGTTAATACAGCTGAATAGAAATTCATTAATTTTTCTTAGTGAGGAGTAAATTTCTCCCTGAGTGAGAAATAGAGAAAAATTCTACGACAGCAGTCGTTATTCATAGTTCAGCTGGCGTTACTTTGGATCCGTATTCAAAAGACGCCAATTTTTATACTCCTATAGGTACATACACCGTCCTTAATATCTAAAGTAGAAGTAAGGCGTTCATGAGTTGGACGAAAATTAGTGAATCAATATTTCTACTCAGTAGTTAATAGTGATAAAACTAACCAGAAAGTTGTGTGATTACCTTTCACCGCTCAGAAATATTATCTACTTTTGGTATAATTGTGTTCTCTGAGTTGGATGGTTTAGTTGTGAAGCTTCTATTGTCATACAAGACAACATTCTCAGTGTGTACTTCAGCCTGTCAAGTGATATAATGAAAATTTCGCAAGTAAACCCTTCAACTTGGAAAATACAACAACACCGAAATCATCCACCTCAGCCAAAAATCTTCTTCACTATATTGTAAATATCAGTAACACAGAATAATTTTGTATCTGTTATATCATAGTTTACTATACAAAAAATAATAATAATACAACAATAACCATAGTTATCCGTTCCCGAGTGGAACAACATTGCACTTCGGAGACATCTTTCCGTTCCGCTTAGTTCTCTGCCATCACGTTTAACTAGCCCTACGACTTTTCATTGGCTTGAATTTAGTCTTTTCCTGATACTCTTCCACCTCTGACCTTTCAGATGTCCAACTCAACGCTTCTCAATTTACCTTAAAAAAAGAAACTTATCCAGGATAGAGTTATACTCTAAAATAGTAACTAATTTCATTTCTGGCATGTGTAAGTTAAAGGGTTTTTGTTTAAAGTAATGTGACAGACAGTTTAAAGCCTGTTTTTTTTTCTGTTCACATGTGTTGTAAGTTAAAGCGTGTGAAACAAAGTTCTGTATTTAACTGGTGAGAATGACGTTCCTTCATGTAGTTGTTCTTCTAACTATACAACTATTTTCCACACCTAATTTTAAAAAATATTTATATTCTTCTTATACTAGAGGGTGAAGAAATTTACACTTCGAAAAGGTAGTTTGTGTTCAAAAACATTTTTGTGATTTTAAAGATATTATTAGAAAAGTGGATTTCAATTTGTGTATTTATTGATGTAGAGCCAAATTATTTCAAAGTATGATGACAGAATTTTGCTTACACAGCATATCAGTAAACTTTACCTTGAGTGATATAACACTGTTTTAGAGCATTGTAATTCAGTAGTGCGTCGGTGGCATAGCCGTTAGTACACTCGCCATCCGTGCACATGGTCCGGGGTTCGATCCCCGACAGACGCACTCCTTAACCTCGCTAAGTCAGAAATAATGCTGGTGAAGAGGAAAGGTTGGGCATGAGGCTACCAACCCCATCCTGTAAAATAAACACTGTTACAGAAACTTCAAGCCTCCAGCTTGAAGCCCTATGTTCCACTGGGGAACATGAAGGAAAAAAAATTCTGTAGTGAATGCTATGAAGTAATTTAACAAAAATGACACAATTAGAAGCGATCTGTTTAGGTATTTTCAAGCTCTAAGAAGTTCATATTCTATTTACCTGACTACTGTGTATACTAGGTCAAAGGAACAGCAGATGTACTTGAATGTTCAGATTCTATTCCTCTGTCTAATTCCATTATGGATAAGATTTTATTTTGATAAGTCACACAGTGTTGTACATTAATATTAACTGATGACCACGTTTCGAGGAAAAATTATTGCTCATAATTATATCAAGTCCTTAAAATATTGACCTATGTAGTTGACCTCACAGTCATTGCAGGGTATTTTGTCCTTTAGCCCACAGAGCTTGTCTTTGAGTGAGTTTGTAGTTTTAAATGCCACTCTAATTCTTGCTTTATTAAGAATCCTACCAGTTAGGGGCTCAGATGTCCCCTCCTTATATGGTAGAACTACATATGCCTTATATTTTTCTCTTATTTATGTTATCAGTATTAGTTTTCCCATTATTTTTATTTTGCTTTGCGCCTTTTCTGATCTGCCTAATGAATTTTGTAGGATAGTTATTTAACACCAACCAGCTATTCTTTTATCTGTTTTATTTCATCATTTAGGTCTTTTCTTGTACTACTTATTGCTATTGCTTGGTTTGTTAGACACTTAACTAAGTCAGCCTTTACAGACAACGGATGAGATAAATTAGAGTCTAAATCTCTATTAGCAGAATGAGTTGGCTTTTTATAAATGCTAGTGTGTCGTCAACCTTCTTCTATTCGTTTAATTTCACAATCTAACATAGCTAATTCTCCTTGTTTTATACTCCTATCTAATTCTTTCAAAATGGTTGCCAGATTGAACCACAAGATCAATCCTTTCTAAAAAAAATATGCACAGCTTCATTCAAGATGTTGTTTTCTAATCAAATGTTCCCTAGAGTTACCGTCCAGCTAGATTTCCATCATTATCATTCTCATCCTATCACCGTTGTCTAGTATTGAAGCGAAAGACTTTATAATTCGCCTTTTAAAATTATAAATTTTCCACCTCAGGAATGACTGACTATCATAAAATCATAAATAAGACGGTTTACAATATAAAGTGTACAGGCATTATGTCAAGCTGTATTGCATAATTTACTAGACCATTCCTAGTCCAAACGAAATGGGAGATTGAACACGGAGCTAACTATTCACATTTTTAAAAATTCCTTTACGTTCCTAGTGGAACATTGAGCTTTAAGATACGGGCTTGAAATTTCCGTAGCAGTGGTGTTTATTCTTTTCCGGGACGGGGTTGTTGCTAGCCGCATGCTCAACCTTCACTCTCTACCAGTTTTATTACTGGCTTAGCGAGGTAAAGGAGTGCCTTGGCGGTTAGGGACTGAACCCCGGACCACATACGTGGTTGGAGAGCATTCTACCGTTGTGCCATCGACGCATTAACAATTCACATAGCCTGAAAAAATCAAAGTTTCTTCCACAAACATACAAATACACACACACATAGAGAGACCCAAAATACGCCATTAATTAGATGGCTTAAAAATAATAAAATGAATATTCAGGCAGTAATACTTACTTCAAATTTACACTAGAAGTATCTGTAATATGATTTGTAGTATTATTTTCCATTGTAATACTTATTATCAAGTATAATAATAATAATAATTCCTGATTTTGTATATACGAATATTATCATCATTTACGAGGGGAATAACTTCACAGACAATGATAACATTAAATTATATCCATTCAAAGAAATATCTTTTAATGTGAGTGGTAGTTATAGTAATAGCAGTTGAGATGTAATTTCCACAAATCACGTGTATATATTTTTAAAATTTCTCAACTTCCTCAAAACTTCTTCTTATCACAGAGTGTTTTGCACAAAAAGCTGAATAATTAAAGCTTGTAAATGCATATAATCCGAATTTATGCAACTGTTTTGCTTTCTCACATAGAATACAGAAAACGTGTAATCATTAAAAGCCAGAGACACAGAAGAAGTTCAAGAGTAAAGCATAATTGTGAGTGATGAGTTGATTTTACAACTTATTACTGTACTATAATAATAATAATTATTATTTGTCCAAAATTTATCTAGTTCCGGTTTCGGCAGTTTTTATTACATAATATATATATATATACTAATATTAATTTTAATCTTCTCCCACACCAAGTTCTCTCTATTTCGCCCTCTCTCTCACTCACTCACTCACAAACACTGTACCCCCATTTATATACACTTAATCTCCATACTTATATACAGAGACGTGTGTGTGTGTACGCCTAGATACGCCTACAAGCCATGCACTATGCACTATTCTTTGGGTTTCTATACCCAGGAGACTAACTATTTCATTAAGCATTTTAAGAAAGTATATATATATATTTCGTAGACTAAACATTCTTCTGATAGGCAGTAATAATCAACTGACTATTCTAACTTGAAATTAAATACACACATAACGCACACATAACACATCTATTTGTGTGCCATTGTGTGCCAGTGTGTGTGTGATGGCAGTACACTCGTTTATCATTCGCACACAAGCACGGCTATGATGCACGCATGCGTATAGATTATTACACATTAACAGACTTATAGATGACCAAAAGTGTATTTTATAAGGTTCTTATGGAATAGTTATTATTATTATCCTCATTATTATTAAGTTTTATAATCTTAAATGTTTATTATGGGACAGACCTTCAGGTGATTTTTCAAGATGGCTTAATTTTTGATAGAAGAAATAAGAAGAAGATGAAGAACCACGTGCCTACCCATACGGATACATACACACACGGTCACTTTCATTTCCACACACGCACACGCACACTGACACCTACACAAATTTATCTATATTATATTTCTCTGTGCACATTTTCATCAGTATTTATCTACAATTATTAATTTTTTTTCCTGTTCTCCTCCTTTCAGAAGAAGAAGAATAGTTTCTTTTGCATGTGACAGTCCTTATTTACACGAACAGGTAAACGAGGATTATATAAATATGAAGATTAGATTAATATTAAACGATAATGATAATAATAGTAAGAACTTTAAAATATTCATAGTTAGACAAGAGTATACTTTACTTTAATTGGTATGCCTATATTCTTATCATTGGAGTTAGTTTATCCAACAGCATCGTTACATTTCTTCAGATTGATTTTAAGAGATGATAAGAGAATTTAATGTAAAGGGAAACTTATTTAAAAACTTCCAATCTTTAATAAAGTGTAAACAAATGTTTGAACAGAAGTCATCATTTATTCCATCGCTTTTCTCTATAAAAAGTTATTTATATATATATGTACAGAGAAATATAAACATACCTGCTAAGGTTACATAATTTCTGGCTAACATACATGCAAAATTATTAAACACACATAAATCAAGTTTCACACGTTTGATACCAATTGGTTCGGTGAATTTGAAGAGAGAGTTGAGTTACTGATCATATCTTAGATTTTTTATAAAAGATACTAAAAAGCCTACTGTTGATACGGTTCATGAGGTAGATAGATACCTTGAAATACTTCAAGATTGTTAATAGACAGTATTACTCAACTTCCCTGAAATTTGCTAAAACAGTCGCTATCGTACTTTTCAAACCTGACTTATGCGTTCAGAAAGATTAATTTATCAGTCTTTCCTTGACCTGGTAACTCGACGTCTAATCTCTTCTAATCATTTGATTACGAAGTCCTCTGTTTCAACCCTCCCTGCAGTTTTGCTTTAACATAATCTAGCTTGTTCGTCTTTTTGATTTCTATGACTTGAGTTAGACTTAGCATACTGTTATGAAAAGGATTAATTACTTATCATCAAATTCACATCTCTTGTTTTGATTGTGCAACTCAATTTTCACTTTTTTTACGAGTTGATCACGGATTGATATCAGTAAGAGAACCATTGAAAACTAGAGAGTACTGGGCAGCTGTTTCATCCTAGTTTGAGAATTATCGGTAGTACGCACCCACCACAGTGGGGTTCGAACCCAGGACCTTCTGGTTACAAGGCAAACTCGTATGCCGGAAGGTTCAAAAGTCATATAACTTTTGCAATTATGTTAAACTTTTAGTCAGTACACCTACATAATTAACTTTTAGGTTGTGCTCATCTGAGACGGAACCAAGTAAATGAATGTTGGCCTCATCTTATTTTCTACAAACATTGATTTCTGCTTTACAGTTTACAATTTATTTAGGATAGTAGGCTATATGCCTGTGTTAATCCTTTCAATTTGTTACACACAGGAGGTCTAATCTCGCCTTGAATGAATCAACGGATGGCGCTGATACGACGTGTTCCGGTAGGGAGTTCCAATGGTTCACAATTCGATGCGAAAAACGGATCTCCAGACGCAGACGATTCGACCGTGGTTTTTGAACCTTGAGGTGATGTCCTCGCAATTGGTTGGTGCTAGAAGGAAGAAATAAATTAGATAAATTTGCTCCAAAATCATTTCTTAGGATACGGTATGCTAGTATTAGGTCACCCCTAAGTCGTCTGTATGACAGCGGAAATAAACCCAGTCGACTTAACCTCTCCTCATATGAGAGGGTTGAGAAACCCTTTATTAGCTTAGTTCCTACTCTTTGCACCCTTTCTAATAAGTCTATTTCGTATTTGAAATACGGGCTCGCTGCCTGGATCCCATATTCCAAATGAGGTCTGATATAAGTCGGATATAATATACGAAATATATCAGCGTCAAAATTCGCAAAAGCCTTGCGTATGGCCCATAATATTCGAAAACCCTTAGTGGCTGCAGCTCTACAGTTTGTTGCTGTTTTCAAGTCATGCTGCACAACCACTCCCAAGTCCTTGTACTCAGTGACCACTGGGAGAGTAATGCCATTCACTGAGTAATTGTGCACGTGACTATGAGATACATGCATAACTACACTCTTGCTTAAGTTAATCTCCAAGGCCCAGTGCTTACACCAATCACTTAACAAGTTTAAATCTTCCTGCAAAGCAAGTTGATCACTGTCATCGTGTAAAGCCCTCCATATCTTGATGTCATCAGCAAACAATAAGCAGGATGACTTAACTACCGATGGAATCTCATTAACATAAATCAGGAAAAGAAGTGGGCCTAGAATTGTACCCTGAGGAACGCCACTCTTAACCGATTCCAAAAAAAACTTATTCATGAGGAACAGCTGGAAACTGAAGCTTCACAACTCCAGTTTGAGAGTTTACTTTTTAAGAAATAATGTTGTAAATGAGTAAAGTGAGACTAGAACACAGTCATGGGAATGAGGGTGAAGGTTCGTAGTTTAGTAAGTAGAATACTGAAAACGCATTCATTATGTTGAAATTGTTCGTTCAAATTCTTGCATAATCCGTATTACTATTTTAGCTTCATTCACGTGGTCAATATGTTCTCATTGGAAAACAAAGGCGTTAATTCAGCGAAGAGACTGTTTTCCGTAACTTCGTAACTTCTGTAATTGTACAGTCGTATTTATTTACAATTTTTATTCCACAAAATTCCATGGAAAGGAAGTAGACGAGTTGTTGTAAACATAGTTGGTACCATAAATCAATATATGAAAGAAGCGGCATAAAGGTGATAGCGGTGAGTGATGCGATAATTTGTTTGATGAATTAACTGTAATCGGAATGCACACAGAAAAAAGGTGTTCGAAAGAAAAAAAACATTGGAAAGAGGTAAGAAAACTAAAAACACAATTAGGTTTAAAATGATAGCGTCATTAACACTGACAGTAGCAGTGATTTAAGAAGCTCCTGTTTCTCTGTTTAAATAGCCAGAGCTTCAGCAGTGCAGAAGAGACGAAAGCGTGGTGTTATCTGCAGGTTGCTATTCATTTTGTAGAGTATTTTGAAAGGGACATTTTTTGGCGATAAATCGGACATTGTTGACATGGTGTCTAATTACTGTACTGCTTATGAAGCCTCTGTTACCTTCCTGCAAGAATGCAGAATAGTATTGTTGAACGTTTTTACACAGAATAAGCGTCAAATGGCCAATGCGTTTGGCAGGTGAACTTAAATATGCCCGTAGAGATGAAGGGATGTTTTATTTCAGGTTTATCCAGAAAAGTGGGGGACTGGAAAACACTGCTCCAAACGTTGCTACAAAGACTGTTATTTACTAAGCGATTGAAATTCTTCTCTCAGGAACATTGCACTTTGAGCCACCCTTGAAATCAGAGTCGATGTAAAGTTTTTCTTTTTTAGACATGGACTATGTCTCATTTTGCTGAATTTCAAACTTGATGTTCTTGTCAATAAGTCTCGGTGGATATCCAGTTTGGAGAATTTCTTTGAGAATATATAAATCTTCTTTCAGAAAGTCAAGACTGCAGATACATCAGACTCAGATAGTTGGGGTTTAAATGAATTTCACTTTCATTCAGTTGGTACCCAGGTGTAGGAAATTGTCATTTGAGCGTTTCCTATAGATTTCTTATGGATAGACCCACCTAAGGTTCCTTGTACTTGAACATCAAGAGAGGGAATTTTATGTTCTTCTTCCATTTCATGAGTGAATTTTATCGTTAGATGGCTGTAATTAAATACTTATAACGAGTAGTTTAGGTAACATTTATCATCACACACGTATCTTATGTACAGTTAGCAGTTTTTGATAGTGGACTTTGATGGACCATTTTCGAGGCCTATCATAAAACATTTTCCTACCAGTTGACCCAAGGGAGATACTATTGTGATCTTATTTTTTTGCAGATTGTGTGTTAAGAGTGCATCTCAGTATAATTCTTTTCAGGTATGCTGTTGGAATTCCCATGCTTAACTGGTTTTCACCTATATTTCTGCAGATGGTTTTCGCAGACAGAACGTTGGTCAGAGGGTGATTCGATGTCGAGAGACATTCATATCTTACATGCCATCGACAGATTAGAAAAGTTTCGTCAATTGAGTAGTCGTTTAGTAATAATAATAATCAAATCCCTACAAACCCACACTTGAATATTAATGAGATGCTCACTAGTGACTTGCATCATTCAGGTAGGTAGTTACCTGGGGTTCTAGTGAGAAGTCGTGACCAGTAGGGTGCAGTAGGTCGGGCGTGAGGACAAATACTCGCCAAAGACATTGGCTAGGGGTCGTAC